GCATGTTGATAAAAATGAAAATGTCCATCTCTGTGGGAAAGCAGTTGGGCAGCAAAGCCAGTTCTCTTAGCAAGAAAAAAAATTGCTCAAGTTTTCACAAAATGGACTATGGACTGAACAGATGAATTCTACTAGAATGGGATGCTTTTAACTTTTTTTGGTTAGGACATTATCATTTTCAGCACATTGTTATTACTTGGAGTCATTACCACTTCCTAAAAAAATTGATAAAGTTCCCATCTGAGCACTATACATTTCTATTTTTTTATACTGTATTATTAGAATATACATCCAAGGCTTGTCTTTCAGTTTTTGCAAACAGTTAGTATGGCTTTTACGTCTTGCACGTACAATATGATCATCTTGAGTTAGTTAAGGCACCTCTTACATGAAGAACAAGTGCTTCAGGCAGGCTAAGTAAGAGGCAGGCCCAAAGATCAGACCTGATATATTCCCCCTCTGATTTTCAGAAAAGCTTTCCTGAAGTAGGGCTACCCCTTTTTTGCATACACTGTTAAATGCTGGATTCTCTTTGTGCAAAGTGCAATAGATTTTTGTCTTGAGTTTCATGACTAGAAGTACTCAAATAAATAGGAGCAATAGTTCAGAGGATTCCAAGCCAATATTAAAAATTGTATTGGTTTTAAAGATAGACATTTTGTAACAAAATGAGAGGACTGGTTGATCTTGCAGTCCAGGAGTGGAGGACCCTGGAACCATCAAGGGAGAAGACCGGAGTGTGGGACCCTATCCAGAGAAGCAGAGATGGAGGCAGATACCATGATGTGGAGAGATGGAGCGGCTGGGGACTCTGGACTCAGGGAGGGAGAGGAGCAGCTGGGGGGTAGGCTTGCAGGGTGTACCCTTTGGTTGTTTGAATGGTTGTATATTTCTGAGTGCTTCAGTGTACGTCAACACCGACACACACCTCCCCCCAACCCCCCCCAACCCCCCCTGCCGACAAAAACAGAGGGAATGAGAGCAAATGCTGTTGAATGATGATGCATGGAGGGGATTGTAATCATTGCAATTAAACAAAATACGATAGGATGAATATAAAGCTGATGTTCTTCCATGTAAACTATCACTCAATTCACAATAAAAAAAAGAAAAAAAAATTCATTTGTTAGATGCTGAAAAATTTTTATAATCATAAAATATGGTAGAAACGTTTGATTGTTTAAAAGAATTATAACTACAAGCTTCTGATATTATGTTCTATTGCTGTAGTTAAGTGCCGTTGAGTCAATTCTGACTCATAGCAACTCTGTATAGCAACTTTGAACTGTTGACCTTGTGATTCGCAGACCAGTGCTA